TTTGCCCGGAATCCTCCTTTAATTTGAAAAACCACAATAACTTAGAATTTCGAAACAATCTAATTCTACAGTTATACAGAAGTTCAAAAAATAATTATTTTAGAACTACAGTAATTCAGAAGCCCAAAAAATGAAATTCTAGGACTATAATGAATCAGAAGTTCAAAAAATTAAAATTGTAGAGCTACAGTAATTCCGAGGTTGAAAACATGAAGTTCTAGAACTGCCCTAACTTTGAAATTAAAGGGGGACTCCGACCAAAAATTTTTATTGCCTCAAAATGTTTCAAAAAATATGTATTTTCCTAATATTATTGCGAAAAAATTCAAAAAGAAAATCCTAAATCCCCGAAAAACCGCGTTGAAAAAACATAGGATTTGAATTCCCGCGCAGTGAGAAACCTAGGCCACGGCATCATAGCGCCTTTCTGACATGCACATTTTTCCGGATTTTTTCGGTTTTCATGCCCGGCAGGTCAATAACGGAAAAAAACCACTGTTGACAACTTTGTAAAAACCGATTTCAAGCGCCGTGGCCTAGGCTTCTCACTGCGCGGGAATTCAAATCCTCGTCCATCCTCTCAACTTTTTCTGAAAATAGTTCCCTTTCAGCGGCATTCTCCTGGGATCCCGGATTTTTTTCAAATTTTTTCGCTATATATTAGGAAAATAGACAACTTTTCAAACATTTTAATGCAATAAAAATTTTTGGTCGGAGTCCCCCTTTAAAAACAATCAAATTCTTTGACTACAGTAATTCCGAGGTTAGAAAAAATCAATTTTTAGGACTAAAGTAATTTTAAGATTTAAAAAATCGAACTACCAAACTACAGTAACTTAGAATTTTGAAACTTTCAAATTCTATAGAACTACAGTAACTTTGAAATTTGAAAAAATAAAGTTCTAGGACTATGGTAATTCAGAAATTCAAAAACTGAAATTCTAGGACTACATTGATTTAAAAAAAAATGAACTTATAGGACTACAGTAATTCAGAAATTCAAAAAATTAAACTGTAGTTCTACAGTAATTCAGATGTTCGAAAAACAAATCAAACTGTAGGACTACAGTAATTCAAAAGTTCAAATCTACTAACTCTCAGACTCGACTGGATGTATATGTGGTGTGCGCTGTATCAAATCAATCCTTGGCTCATCACTTCAAACAAAATTTCTCTGAAAGCTCAGCTGAAAAAACTACCTGGAGCTGGCTTTGGAATGGCAGCTGCTCAATTCGTCTTTTTGGAAAGAAATGCAGAAGTGGATAAAAAGTCGTTTGACGATGCTATAGATTATTTCAAAAATATTGATAAGAAATATCAAATTTTGCTGTTTCCGGAAGGAACAGATAAATCAGAATGGACCACTTTGAAAAGTCGAGAATTCGCGAAAAAAAATGGACTTCGAAATTTGGATTATGTTCTGTATCCGAGAACTACTGGATTCCTTCATTTGCTGAATAAAATGCGAGAGCGTGAGTATTTTTGCCTTTTTTGAAGTTAGAAATCTGAAAAAACTGTTCTAAACAATCTAGAGTCTCTGAAAATTAAAAAACATCTTCCAGGAGAATATGTGGATTACATCTATGACATCACCATTGCATATCCCTACAATATTGTGCAATCAGAGGTATGAACACCCTTCTGTTCTTTCATTATTGCTCATTTCCAGGTTGATCTTGTTGTGAAAGGAGCAAGCCCACGAGAAGTTCATTTCCATATTCGAAAGATTCCGATTTCTCAAGTCCCATTGAACGAACAGGATGCTAGTCGATGGCTGACAGAGTAGTCGAACTATCTTTCATTTGGTTTTCGAACTTCTTTTTTTCAGCCGATGGACATTGAAGGAACAATTACTACACCAATTCTACAGTGAGGAGCAACCAATCAATAGGCAGTTTCCAGTTGAAAGAGGCGATGGGGTCTGGAGAAGTGTAAGTTTTTATGGGCTTGCAATTAAAGATTTGTGCTTTTTTTTCAGTGGAAAGAACCCCGACGTCATTTCTATGTAAAAGTAACAGCTCTCTGTTTCTGGACTCTCGTCATTGGCTTCTGTTCCTATCACATATTCTTCGTGAGAACCCTACAAGTAAGTTTTTTAATTCTTTCAATCCGAATCATATCCTCTAATTCAGCTTGGTTTCTTATACTTCTTCATCATAAGTACGTTCCTAAACTGGAAATACGGTGGAATAGACAAATTCATCATTGGCAAATGGCAGACTTCTGATGAAGCGAGATCCTCGTCATCGTAATCCGTCTAATTTTAAATCAATCATTCCAATCTACCTCGTCCTAGTCGATTCCATTCGTTTTTTTGTTCTGGCACCCGCACATCTGACACACTTTTGAGAGACTCATTCAAATGATACAATCGGGTATTTACTTCTTATTAATAATTGTTTAGATTTATTACAATAAAAATTTTTTAAATTGATAATCATTTTGTGGGAGGGCAATTAGAACAATGTGGAGCTCTAACAATCCAGATGAGTCTCCGCCCAGAGCTCTGTGATTGAAATCTAGTGCATCTCATTCTTATAAATTCGATGCATGTAATTTGTGGGATTATCCACATTACAATGTCTTTTCTTGTTTGTTAAACAAGAGCCGCCGTACAGTAAAAAAAGAGAGAAACGCGGGAGCAGCATTGCTTGCTACGCTACTCCCCATCGACTCTTAACTCTCTAAATCGTTCCCCCTGAGTTTTTCTTTGGAGGATTTTCACGAAAAAAGATGATTCACTTTGAGACTATCTTTGCGGATATTTCTTTGCGATCGAGCGGTGGTATGTCTTTTTTGCAGGATAAAATCTGTAGTTTGTACTGCACACTTTTTTTCTAAAACCTGCAAATTTTGAGGATGATGTTGATAGTTTAGAATTACTCTGAAACTGTTTGAAATATTTTTCAAAAAATGAGAAAGATTTTGCAGAAACTGAAAGCAGTTTCGAGAATTTTCAATTTGTTTGGGAAACAAATGAGTTTAATGTTTGCGTTCTATAGAGCCATAGAGCCTATTCTCCAAAGAATATCTTCTCACTCACTCAATTTGGGTTTTCTGAAACGAGAAGATTTGATTTGAGTTTGATATAAGTTATGAAAAGTTCCTAAATCTTTGAAAATTCATTGCTTCGAATTTTCCAATACAAAATATCGTAGACACTATAACAGAAGGCCCCCTCATACTTTGAGCTCAATTATATCAATTTCTATGACAGATGTCAGAAATGTGTCAACGGATAAATTGTTAGTGATAATAGGAAAAAATTAAAGCAGTTGACAGATTTATGATAGCTTTTATGAAATTGAGATACCATAAACACTTTAATAGAACGCCACCCCTAACTTGTAACTTTGAGTCAATTTCTCTCAGTTTCAGTGAAAGACATCAGAAAGTGATCAACTAATACAACACTTTTAATATTTCGATTAACATTTTATCAGTTGACCAATTTTTGATATCTGTCACAGGAAACGAGATACACATTCTCCACTTTGACGGTTTTCTGGAGCAGAATCTGCTAGCTTCCAAAAAGGAAACTCGGAGATTTTTTTCCGTACTACTCGAGTCACATAACTATAATAATTAAATTGAGAACAATTTTGAAGGATTTTATGCACTTCTAAAACTGTAATCTGAAATCAGAAATTTTTATAATCCAACTATTTATTGAACCAAACAAATTTTACATCTGAAAATCATTATTTTTATTGAAAACATAGAGTACAAGATTATCTTCACAACAAAATGTTTTCAGTTATGAATCTGCAAAATAAAAATGAAAAAAAAAACAGAAAAACATGAACATCCCTCTCCAACCAATCCATCAATATTTCAGACTTTCAGATGTTTTGGAAAAAGAAATCGAAATCCAAGTCTTCATTGGTTTCCTCACCAATCAGAGCGACATCTTTACCGACAATCAACGAAGTGAGTCTCTGTTTTTTTGTCGGAAACCTCAAAGAAGAAAAAAATTCTTCTCATTTTTTCCATTTGAAATCCAATCCAAAATGTTTGTGAGAGTATACGTGTGTGGCATTAATAGACGATCATCATCTCTCTTTCACACCTGGGTCTCTATATTTCTTTTTTCTTTTCTCTTATTTTTTCCTCTTGTCCAACACAACCTATGATGTCTTTTTGACGTTCTGCCTGCCCACCGCTTTGTCGCTTCTTATCACTGATTTGTTTGTCTCCATTTGCCGTTGATGATGTACTATAAAACGGGAGAAAATGAGAAGAACCGAAAGTTTGTTGCAACCTACGATTCTTCGTGTAAACATTGGTTTTGATTGAACACCTAAATCTTGTATTCCTTCCGATACAATCAATTTGAAGAGAGATACAATTCCATGATTCAATTACAATTTGAACTTTTCAAAAATCTGAGAAATCTGATTCATTAGGAAGAACCTTCTGATTCCTTATTTTATAAATGTTCAATTTAAGACTGTTCTCTATTTAAAACCCGTTCTTCTCAATTCTTCTTTCCGACATGAATCATTTTGATTTATATTCTGCATCTCTATTCTTTCCCCTTTTCCTGCATCTCATTTTGATAAATTTATGTATTCCCATTATTGTGTACGGTTTTCTTTTTTGACTTTTGCCCGGTTTGATATTGATTGATTGAATGGGAATTCGCATAGTTGGAGGTTAAATATGACAAAATCAGTTCCAGTTATACATTCTTATTTCTGAAAAGATTTCAACCGTGCAGATTCCGTTTTTCCTTGAATAGGAGGCCACCCAAACAGTCAACTTTAATTTCAATTATCTCAATTTCTGTGAAAGATATCAAAGTTTTGTAAACTGATAAATTGTTTACCATAATATAACAAGTAGTGATTTTCAAAAGTTTTAATTTTGGGAAAAATATTCAGAAAGTGTTAATATTTCTGTTATATTTGTTGAAAAAGCACGTTGCTCCCAAAAACTTAACGGTCCCATCTTTTGGGAGATTCAAAAGATTCACTAGCTCACAAAAATTTTTGAAATTTCAGTACTTTGATGTGAAAATTAAAACTTTTGAAATTCACTACTTGTTATATCATCAACATTTTATTAGTTGACAAATGTTTAATATCTTTCACAGGAATCGAGAAAGTTGGATTTCAATTTTTCGATTTCTTGAAAACACTAACTTCGAATTTTCTAATAGAAATACCGTAAAACAAAAGCACGCACACCGCCACTTTGATCATGTATTTCTCGGTTACCGTAGAAGATATCAAAAAGTAGACAACTGACAAAATATTTTTGATTTTATGCCTAAAATTTTGTCACTTGACCACTTTTTGATATATTTTACAAGAACCTAGAGATATGTGATCAAAGTTTGCGGTTCGGGTGGTCTTCCATTAAAGTGATTACGGTACATCTTATACGTCCAATTTGAGCTCAACTATCTCGGTTCATTCAAAAGATATCAAAAATTTATCAACGGATTAAAATGTTGGGAAAATTATGAAAAAGATTTTATTAGTTGACAATTTTTTAAAAAAATATTTAACAGGCACCAAGATGATTGCGCTCAAAGTGCACATATAGAGTGGCCCTCTATTAGGCCATTTATAGAATCTTTGATGATGGAAAACGTTTTGAAACTTAGTAAACTACTCCCTCAAATTTCCCCAAACATCGGTTTTATCTATCTGTTCATCTACTAATTCGGAAACATAGAATGTGAGAAGTATTCAAACTTTCAATCTGTACACCAACAACTTCTTATTGTAATATTCCCCGAATGTCTTTACCTTCCTCAACCCCTTCTACGTCCAACTGCCATAAATATATGTTTGCCATGTTGTCATTACATGCATCTCTATGGTGTTTAGTGTGTTCAATGTCGCAGATTTTTTTTCCTTTTCCGATCGATTCAATTGCCGTCTCTCTTTTCTATTTTTTTTCGATTTCCTCACCCTCTTTTTTCTCATCTCTCTCCTCGAATTTCAGTATATTTCTCTCATATTTCCGTCAAAATTTTCCGTCAGTTGGGAAAAGCGAAAGCAAGATTTTTTTGCTCTAAACATAACTTTTTGTGGGTGCCATGATGGCTTAGAGATACCAATTGGTTTTTACTTAAAGCTCTTATTTTCTTCTTTCACTAGCTCTCCCACTACACATATCAAGAAAATTGTAAAATCTATTTGTTTTTCTTTCCTTCTGATACCTTTCATATTGAATTATCATCAGAGAGATTGATAAGGAAAACGATCCAAAAGAACAGTTGTTCTTTTATTTTCAATCGAATTAACCTTCCCAATCACAAATCAACCACTTCTGCGGAGAAAAAAGTGTCACTTTTGAAACCGAACTGATGTTGATTGATGATAAAGAGTGGAGGGTTATTCTGAGAGTAACAACAGAGCCAATCAGTTTTACGATTGATTTTGTTTCAATAAAAATTTTCAAAAATTTTATAGATGATGAAAATAGTTTAATAGAAATTTTTTTTTGAATCAGCTCTCACAAAATGAATTCAATGTTTCGATTGTTCTGAAAATTTCTGATTGAATTTTCTCAAAATTCCGGAAGCTAGCATTTTCTGATTCAAACATAAATTTTTTAGATATATGAATTAGCCTACCTGTAAAACGTTTGCTGAGTTCAGCAGATACTGTAAACACTCCAATAGAGCGCCTACCAAACCGTCAACTTTGAGCTCATATATCTCTGTTCCTGCGAAAGCTATCAAAAAGTGCTTAACTGGCAAAATATTATTAATGTTATGATAAACATTTTGTTAATAAACCACCTTTTGATACCTTCCACAAGAATCAGAGTGTATACGGTAATTTTATTTTTCTGAAAATCGATTTTACAAGAATTCTTCAAAAATTTGGATTATGATTTTTGAGCCACTCACCTCGATTTGGTACTTCTCACTAATCACCAATTTCAATAGCCGGAAATATAAAAAATAGAGAAAAAAATTGTTGTGGACTCAATAAATGATGGAAACTAAAACACAAAAAAATGAGAACTAGAAGATTAGCAACTGCAGGTGTCGCCCAAAACACAAATGAGCCCCGGCTTGATTTTTTCTTGATCATTTCCACACTGACCGTGAGCGAAATAGTGTTTGAGAGCGAGATACGCAGACTAAGATAAATGAGTTCCGCCGTTTTGCGTTTTCCATCTTCCTCTCATTCTTCACTCGGCTTGCTCTCCAAAAAACAGAAGATTGCTGTAAAAAAGAATCAAAAATATAATAAAAAATGACTCCAAGAGTTTGTCTACAGTATTCTATTTCTTATGCATTATCTTCAAAATTTGTGGTTGGTTTGCTTTTTGCCTTTCCTTTGAATGCACCGTACTTTTCCAATAGGAGCCCACCCTATACATGCACTTTGAGCTCAATTATCTCGGTTCCTATGAGAGATATAAAAAACCTGTCAACTGATAAAGTGTTTATCATAATATTAACAGTAATTTATCAGTTAACAAATTTTTGGTATCTCTCACAGGAACCGAGATAATTGGGCTCAAAGTTGACGGTTTGAGTAGGATTCCGTTAGAGGAAATACGGAGCTAATTAGAGCAAATTGATTGCTTTCTACTTTTAAACTAATTCATATTTGTACAAACTAAAATTGAAATAATTAATTCCAGAAGTCAACTAGCAGCGGACGTCATCTTAGCGTCTCCGTCAGTCAGAACACTCAAAAGAATTTTGTGCGTTTGGTAAGAAATTCGTCCGAAAACTTTGCTATATTTCCAGCCAAGTCCCGTTCAAACGAGAAAAAAGATGGATACGATGCATGGATTTCTGGTTCCAACGTATACTTTACATGATTTTGATGATGGAGAAGAGTGTAAAGTTGTTCGTATGATTTTCCAATTATCCGGGGTTCCATTCGAATTCAAACATGTTCATCGTGACGATTACATTCTTGAGGGTTAGTTTAAATTTTTATAAATCCAATTATCTTTTTTTATTACAGACTACCCATTTTACGCTCTTCCAGCTCTCGAAATGAACGAAAGAAAGTATGGAAGTGTTCTCTCAATTTGCAGACATTTAGCATGGAGATACAGTAATCATTTTCATTTTTTGAATTTTTATTTTAACTTCAATTTTACAGACTTGTCTGGAAAAACCGCATACGATGATGCACAAGTCGATGATATTGCAGAGAAGGTGTTCGAAGTTCGAATGAGAATCAAAAATTGGATTGATCACATCGAACATGCTGCTGATCATGCCTGTGATGTGAGTTTCTAGAAACCACCATCTTCTATTTTTTTTTTCCTTTATTGACCTCAATTTTTTCGCAGGAGGAGTGCACTGAAGTAACCGCCGCCCGCCTGCTGACCGAGACACTATTCCCTTGCCTCGAGCGTGTGTTGAAGGCAGCACCCTCTTCATGGCTAGTTGGACACACAGTGAGTGTTGCGCGCGTAGCGCAGGGGGTTGTGGGTCGGCAGTGAATCTGCGACCCGCAAGTTCGACACCACCTGACAGAGCGGTGATGAATGCACGTATTGCTCTGACACCTCTTATGTTAGCGGTAAATTTCCGTGCCGCGATGAGTCCAATTGGATCTCTGAGCTCTTTTGAAGCTCTAAATTGTTGAAAGCATACTTACTGAATCTCGGCCGGCCCGGCCCAGCCCGCGGGCCAGGCCGGGCTGGAGAAAACTTATCCCGGCCGAGGTCCCGAAAATTTCAAATTTTTTTCTGTTAATTTTTGATACATTTTTGTCAAAATAATAATTTTAAAGCACGAAATTTATCCCATGACCCTTCCTAAACCTGAAAACAATGAAATTTTGATAAAATGTTCCCAAAAATCCAATTTTCTATCAAAAAATGACTCCTAAAAATTTTCGCCTCAAAAACCCGGAAAGTGTTGAAGGATTGTGTTGAAGGATTTATGTTTTCAGATGACCTGGGCTGATCTTCTGGTCGCCTGTCTTGTGAATCCCATAATCTACCATCGACCAAAACTTCTTCAGGACTTCCCATTGCTCTATTTGCACAACGAAAAGGTTGCACATCATGATGACTTAGTCGGATTTTTATATCATGTCAGAACCCGTAAATTCCAGGACAAAAAGTAAAAAACAAGTGTGGACTCTGTTCATGTATTGTTTTGAATGCATTTTTTATTAACTTTCAATTTTTAAGCCGGTTTTACTACTATGTCGTTTATAATTTGTGGGACAATAAAATCTTATGTAACATAGATATTTGTTGTTGAGTTGATTAAAATGTACGTCATCACGTGGGAATTCAAATGCCACATGAGGAGGTAACTGTTCAGCCAGTCACTCGCTTCTGCTTCTAAACCATAGCCAGCTGTTGTGTGCGTATTTGTAATTACAAAATTACGAGAATAAAATGAGCTTGTCGAAGAATCGGAAAAGTTTGGAATTGGATGAAGAAAATGAGTCGTCTGCCAACTATTTGCGTTCTCAATGGACCGTTTGTGTCAAATCTGCAAAAGTGTTGAAGAAGGTGACTGTGGTGATGAGAAGTGCCGAACGAGTGGACCGCGTTTTTGGCTCCGCGTGGATTTCATCGGAGAAGTACATGACAAAGGTGACCTAGCTATAATGCTTGTATAAAAATTTTCAGCTGTGGAAGATAAGAGCCTGCGGGCGTGGCCGAAGGTCCCACAACGACAACTACCGTAACCTAAAAATATTTTAATTTTCCGGAGGCTTCATACTACAAAAATAGTTCTAGGGTTTTTAAGTGTGCCTTTTCTGGTATTTAAAACACAACCTGAATTACGAAAAACAAAAAAACAAAAAAAAATTGAAAAATTAAAATTTCAAATGTTTTCAATCTTGGAATGTGAGAGGAAATGTTTATTTTCCGAATTTTAATTAGGAGAAAATAGCATAAAAATCTAAAATAAACAGTAAAAAACGGGAAAATAAATCCGGAAAATAAACATATTATTTTTTGGTTACTGTAATTGTCGTTGTGGGATCTTCGGCCACTGCCACCGGCTTTTCTCTTTCACAGAACCGATTTTTGTACCAGAATGAGAAATCCTTTATTTTTTTCAGATTTACGCTACAGACGTCAATGTTCCGAGAGGAGCAACTCTTCATCCACATAGCTACCAGTTCAACCCACCAATCACTAACATGGGTTTGAATTCGCCCAAAAGTTAAAATATCCAACTTCAAGATTTCAGGTAAATACTCATCTCAACTGATCGCTCGTGCTCTTCGTAACCGTGGAATCGAACCGAATGTGATTTTCTGTTCTCCAACACTTCGCACTCTTCAAACAGCAGCCGCAATTGCCAAATCGACAGGAGCCCGAGTTCTTGTCGAACCTGGACTCCTAGAGCCAATGGAATGGTACCGTAGAGCGGGTGCAAAACAGCTTCCCGATTTTATGGATGAGATTTTCGACATCCCTCAAATCGATAAAACTTAGTAAGTGATTAAAAATTAGTTTTTAAATGCATAATCTATGAATCATAAATATTTACATTCAGCAAACCAATATTCTCCATGCATGAGTTTACCAGCATGTTCGAGGCAAAAAGTCAGGATCAGTGTATTCAGCGTATCATGCTTGTTGTCAAAAAGTTTGAGTGTCTAACCTAGTTTTACCATTATGATAATTTTTCAGTATCTGCGTCATTTCACGTGATTGTCCAGCCATGATTGTTGGTCATGCTGTCACTATGGATGTCGCATCTCGTATCGGACAACACGGAGACATATTGAGCAGTGATAACATTGAAGACTTGACCTCATATGAAGATTCCACATATCCATCTGATCCAAGCGGTCAAGCTGCCAAACTAGAAATGGGGGTTCGTTACCCACCATCGAGTGTGATGGCATTGGTTCGTAGCAACGATGCTCCGCCACATGTGCTCAAAACTGTTCCGGACCTGATTCCACCACTCACCATGGGATCGTTTTCTAACAAGATTCTGCATTGAAATTAAACTTGAATGGAACATAAATGAAGTTCATTGATTGCTAATTTTTTTTTGAAAAAAGATTGTTTGAGAACCGTATTTCACATGTTAAAGATAAGAGATGGCATCGGTTATGAACAAGATAAAATTGGAGGTGACTGGGTTATAATAGATGGAGTCGCTTTCAGTCTGAAAACAACAACGCACGCAGATATATTACAGGGAAAACGGGGGTTATGATCGAGGGGTTTGGGAAAGAAGGAACGAAACTGAATACAGGAAAAAATTGAATATTGGTTATTTAAGCTTGACTAGAGCTGAACACACTAGCTTTTGGCTTCTGTGTCATGGGAGTAGATGAAAAGATTCGTGGATTGGCGGCTATCCCGAACATTTGTTGACCGAGAGACAAGTCGCAAGGGTCTGTTCTAACTGCTTCGACGGTCTGAAAATCAGAAACACATATTTGTAATGGAGCTAATATTCCAACTCACCGATTCTTGACTTTCTGCTCTCGTCACTTGGTGCAGTGGTACAATATCAAGTTCACTCAACGAATCGTTTCTGGCAGCCTGTAGAGATCGCAACACTTCTTTCTTTGAACGAATATCAGGATCGTATGGCACTACTGTCACTTTTCCATATCGTCGCCGGAATCGAGGCAAGCGAGTTGTGACGGTGTGCTTGACAGTGAAAAGGATTGCACCGATAAAAACAGCCAAGAAGAACAGAGATGTAATTGTCAGAACTAAAAAAAAAAGGAATGACTTGTAAAAAATTGTAAAAAAAATACTAATCGGGGCAAAGCTGAGTCTTGGATTGAAGAAATATGATCCACGAAGAGCGAGTACAAAGAAGAAGAGAAGAATGGCGAACAAAATTGCATAGCATACGTGTTGGATAGAGTAACGCCGACAGAAATCACCGAACGAGCCGTATTTATAGTATCGATACTTGACTCCACACCATTCACATGATTTATCGTGTTTCAAATGGTCTCGAATGCATCCATGATGGACCAGAAAACCGCAGAAACACGGGCGAATCAGTTTCGCATCATTTCGTTCCGACCATTCCGGATTTTGATAACTTTGATTCTGACACAGAGCACATGTGCTAGCGGCCTCCAACTGTTTTGGAGAACTCGTAGATGCCTTGTTCGACATGAACAATAGTCTGCCTGATATGCTTCTCGATGAAGATAGAGATTGTCGTGGTGTCGTCTGAAAAAGGAAGAATGAGCTTAGAATTTTAGAAAGTGCAAGGAGAACAAATTACCTGTTCTGGTCGGTACTTCTGATGGCATTGACTGCATGTACCACCGAAAAATGATTCGCTGTCTATGGCACAAGTCGTGTGGACGAACACTCTGCAAGGAGGAGAAAAATGTAACTTTCATCAAACCAAAAAACAGAGATTGTATCAGGTATTTTTCTCTTTTGAGATTTAAAGGAGTCATATGACTTGACAAGAGAATAAATAGATTTTTTAGAAGGGTTGGTCTCTCATCAATCAATTTTGAGAATTTTGATGAATGTGTTGACTTTTTACTCACAATGGACAATGACACGGCTTCACGAAATTCGGAACTGTTCCACTGATTTTATTGAGACACAGAAAACAAGAAATCGAGGTGTCCGCGGGAAGAATGCTTGTCTGAAAAAAAAAACGAATTTCTGCAAAACTGTCAATAAACGAGAAAGCGGTGCAGATAGAATGGACTGACTCAAAATTGAATGTGAACACAAATCGTTTGAATACATTTCACGGTTCAATAGGCAGAAAAGGGCTGAAATGGAATGATGGGCGACCTAGCTCTTATGATGACTTTCAGTGAGGAGAACATGAATAATACGAATGGTCTAGAGAGAAAAAAGAAAAGATTGGTCATAAACAGAGGGGATTAGAGCAGTGGATACTCTGAGGATTAGAACAATTATCTTATTTTTAGAGAAACCAAATTCTACTATTCGGATATCATAGAGCGAGAGAAACATTCTAAAGAGAAACGTTAAAGTCTGCCAATTTATTGGATAGACAGTGAATGTGATTGTTAGAGGATTAGTACAATGATGACGTAACATACCATCGACGGCACTTCTTGAATAGTAGAAAGTAACGGCGGATCACGCCGTTTCCGACCGTGCATCAGCCTTTTCGATGTCGTTGGAGGTAGCACAAAGGAGGCTTTCTGAAAATTGGAAATCGCAACAGAATCAAATTCATAAAGGACATCGCACTAGAAAAAAACTAACCTCATCTGCTGTCGATGTCGCCGTCACAGTCTCTTCATCGTGTGGGACGACGGATATGTCGGCGGGGAAGTATGCCTCCGCATCCATCTGATAGAGAGACACAGATTGTATAAAAAAAAAGTGGAGGCGAGGTGATAAGTGATTAGTTAATGTTTATAGTGATTTGATACAGGATATTCCGTCAGAAATTAGGTACGCCGGAAAGTATTTTTAATTAGGAAATTCAGATATCAGTTTCTAACAAAATTCGCTTTTTTTCATGAAGTTCAGAACATGTAGATGGAGAAAAAAAGGCAAATACAAGACATTATTTGTCGAACCCTAATTTCTAGAACATTCAGCAAAGTCCGATAGCTTTGCTTAAGATTTTTTAAATGGAATTATTATCATTGAGATTATTGGAGAAATTGAAGAATATTGAATGGAAAAGACAGACAGGAATCCATAAACAAAACATTGTCATGCGCCTATTCGAATTCGGGACATTTTCTGACTCATCGGTCATTTTTTAGCCAGTTTTTCAAAAAAAAAAACTCGAATTGATCAATAAAGAAATCAAAATCTATCGATCCTAGTTTTTCAGCGAAACAAACCGAAACAATAGTAAAAATCGCTGAAAATGTGTTCCACAGAAACAACAGTTTCAAAGCGCCGAAAAATACAGTAACCTAAGTTCCGTGCAGGAACCCATAAACAAAATATTTGCGTGCGCCTTTGAAATACGGTATTTTTTGACTTGTCGGTGTATCTTTTTCAGCTACTTAATAGTAAATAGTTTTTCAAAAAATAGAGGCAATTGATCAGTAAAGCGTTCAAAATCTATCAATCGCAATTTCTCAGCAAAAAAAAACAAATGTAAAGAAAGCTGAAAAACTGATTCGCAAAAATGCTTGTTTCGAATGCGCCGAAAAATACAGTAACCGAAATTCCGTGCAGAGACCCATAAACGACAAATAGTCGTGCGCCTACAAAAGTTCGGTATTTTTCTGACTCGGTGGCCTTTTTTTCAGTCAATTTTTGGATAAAAACTGAAATTTATCAGTGACTCGTTGAAAATGTATCGATCTCATTTTGTCAGCAAATCGTTTGAAGCACACTTGTCACATTATCAGTACATGTCCCGTTTATCGTTGTGCTTTCACATCTCTAAAGATATCTTCATTTTTTTATGACTTCCACGTATTTTCACTCGATAACCCATTCTTATTCAGTGGTTCTCCCTACCTGGTTTCTGCTAGCAGAATGGGAGTCTCGGAAAATGGAGAAGGCGAGTTTGATTACTCGATTAATTATGCATTAACTTCGATGTTTTCAGATTCTGGCGATTCTACTCTGCGGCGTAGCTCAAGAAAGCGCATACCGAAAAGGGATGATGACTTCGACTACGATTTCGACTATTATCGGAATGTGAGTTGCTAAAAGATTATCGATTGAAGTGTTTCTTTTCAGGAAAACCCATCAACTTCTGCTTTCCCAGTACAATGCGACTTTCCACCAGAATCTGTTGTTGAAACACCGAAAATTAAGAAATCGAGAGCCCCAAAAAGAGCCAAGTATTCACAGTTAGCGGAGATGACGGAGAACAATAACGCGAATGAGGATGAACAAGACAATAGCCTTGATTTTTCCATGATTTTAGAAGAGCGAAAAATTGATCCTGTGCAAGAAAAAGCGTTACTGGACAGTCTTATCAAGCTGAATCCTTCAGATTTGATCAATATGGATGTTTCTGATATAATCGATGTTCATTGTGAAGTAAGTTATACTTTCGGCTCCTGATTTATATTTAATTATTTCAGAATTTGAAGCGACGACTGGAGGGAATCACTCAGTTGTATTTGATCAGCAGATCCTCTACACCTCCGCCGACAATCGTTTCTCCTAGTTCTTATATCGAAATCGATTCGGAGTTCTGCTCTTTCATCGAATCAGAAGAGCTTGCTGTGAAAATGGTCGTTGAAGAATTGGTCGAAACTGTCTCCTTATCGAACCAATGATTTATATTTGCACTTAATAACCAATTCATTTTCGTAGCAGAGTTTCTACTCGTTACGAATCTGTTTTATACCCTGTTTTAGTTTTTTACAACACAGGATTTACTCGTTTTATACCCATCGTACTTGTTTTAAATGTTAGAAATCACTGATACAATAAAAATGCATATTTTTCGGTAAATCAATTTAGAATTTCCTCAAGATCAGACTAGACATCAGTGACGAATAAGCTTATGGGAACATTAGTGAATGTAATTTGATTTCAGGAAAAGAGAAATGAGAGTATAGCCGGGAGAATATCTATGATCACAAGATTTGGGAAGCAATATCTATAAATAATATTTTGTCGACACAACTGACCACAATTTGATTTCTTGACCAATGCAGCAGCTCTTTTTCATTCATCACAAAAAATGACATTGTACACTTTGTTTACTTTTACTCCAACACAAATGTAAGATCTTTTGAACAATGTGACCTACAAATTCCCAGACATCTCCGATTCTCGATCTCTTCCAGCAAGGACATCGGATTCGGAATGTGTTCGTGGGAAAATTCTCTATTTTTTTCTATTTTCTCTAGTTTCAAATATTCGGACTAGATCTTTTTTTCTGCCTCATGTTATGCTGGTACAAACGGCAGTGGCCGTAGCCGAAGGTCCCTAAAAATAGAAAAATGCGGAAAAAATGTTTTTCGGTTACTGTAGTTGTCGTTGTGGGACCTTCGGCTACCGACCACCGGTGTTTCTCTTCCCCACCACCGATTTTTTTCGTATTTTCGTACCATAATAACAGAAAAGCAAAATTTCAGATAATAACAGATTGCTGAACTCAATAATTATCTTTTCGCTCCGTTTTCAGTATTGTACTTCTTCTCCGCCCCATTTCTTCTAGAGCCTTTCCATTTCGCACGTCTTCTTGTATTGCTTAAAAATTCAGATCTCTTTTTCAAACCAATTCAGTTGGAAATTCCAACTTGGAATCAGCAGCTGAATTCAAAGAAATTCTAGTTTTATATATTTGTTTGTTTCTAAATATCTCCATGGCTCCTACTACAGAAAATTCTTCAATGAGTGAGTTCTAAAAAACAAAATTTTATTTAAAATTCCATTCTAAACTTTGAAGAAGCGTTGAAAGTCAACCTTGTGATGACTCCATCTTTATCTAGCTGCAAATTTTTTTTACTCACCTACCATAGCCCAACCATACCGTCAACTTTAAGCTCAATTATCTCGTTTCTCATGAAGATACCAAAAACTTGTCAACTAATAAAATATTCATCGGAATACTAGCAATATTTTATCAGTTAACAAGTTTTTGATAACTTTCATAAGTAGAGATAAAGGAGCTCAGAGTTGATGACTCGGGTGGTTATCTATTCAAGCAAATACTGTAGTTTCAATTGGCGTTTATTGTGTTTTATTTAATTCAGAACTGGAAACAGAATTTAAGAAATTGATAGAGGAAATAGTTATGAACCGAGAATAGTAAAAATTAAACTTCAAACATTGTTTTCCTGGTTGTGATGGACCATCTGAACCCTCGATTCTGATTTGACGTCAGTACTTCTAAATCCTAAATAATTATGAATTCAAGACTCGTATCACCACCCTCCTTTGCATTTTCTGAACTTTCTGTAACGTACTTCAACAACATCTTTCCAACATAGCCATTTTCTTTACCCGAAAATTGTGGGTTTACGTTCTCCACAGGTGCATGTGCATATTCATACAACCTTTCTCCCTCTCTTAAATCCATTTTCTTCGTCTTCCACCTCAAAAACAAGAATTGGTTTTGATCAATCTTATTTTTTCATTCATACTCCTTGATATATTAGGTTGGGTGGGCTACAATAAGCTATGCCAGGAAGTTCAGCATGACCAATAGTACCAATAAATCAGGTAAGAAATTTGGTATTCTGTAGTCGAAACTTCAAAAGTTGATGATTCATTTATGATCCAGAAGAATATTCTTTCATAGATCTCTGTTATACATATAAGAATCTTACAGGATCGTTCTACTTGAGAGAGACGGGAGAAATTAGGGACGTCTATCAAATATTTCTGTTGGTAGAATGCCCAGTCCACGTCATAAACATCATCTTGCTCCTGATGGCTCCAAATCTGATTTTCTCATCGAAGACATTAGTGAATCTCAACTTAAAAGTATCCCAACAATATCTTTTGATTTTTAAACACTATCATTCGTTTTCAGATGACCATTGCTAGCTATTTTCTCGCCGGAGTTCTCATGAGCATTTCTCGTTTAGCATGGCTCATTTGTGACTTATTTTGGGTTCCAATCGACCAAATGGAAATTCTGATGTATTCAAGATTAGTGTTCCAAACATCGAGTAATCTCTTCCCACTATTGCATCATTCTGATTTAACCTCACCATAGTCATCTTTTTCCAGTTGCCGCCCATCTCTTTGTATTGTCTGCGGAACGGGCGATTGCCACTTGTCGCTCGAAACAATATGAGCAGAACTCTTGCTATCCTGTCATTATTTTATGCTGCATTTTGACAGTAAGTTTCTCTATTATTTGTGTTTTCGGATATCAAAGCTTGAAGTTCTTTTGAATTTTTTGATTGTTTCTCTACTTTTTCGTTTCCACTATTCCATATTGTTCTTTTACTTTCTCATTTTAAATGAGCTAAAAACATTTTTATTGATCTTGTCATCTGCAGCTTCTTTCTAATCTAAATTGTGATATAAGTAGTGAAGTAGTGAATTTCAAAAGTTTTAATTTTCACATCAAAGTACTGAAATTTCAAAAATTTTTGGGAGCCACGTGAATCCTTTGAATCTCCCAAAAGATGGACCGTTAAGTTTTTGGGAGCAACGTGTTTTTTCAAAAAATATAACAGAAATATTAACACTTTCTGAATACTTTTCCCAAAATTAAAACTTTTGAAAAACACTACTTGTTATATCCATTGACTTCCAAGCATTTGAATCTAATTTCCCAGTATTTTCTTTCCTTGTTTTTGTTTTCCGCTTCTCCCGGATCAGATATCAATGGAGTTAAATATTGTCCTGAATCGGATCTTGCTATTTTTGAAAAATCAAAGTTCTAACTTTGTTTACTGATTACTTATTTGTCCTCTCCTAAATCCTTTTTCCAAGAGCACAATCATCTGAAATTGACCGTGAACACGATATTAGAAGCCCATCCTATACATGCATTTTGAGCTCGGCTATCTTGGCTCCTGTAAGAGATATCGAAAGTCTGTAAACTGAAAAAATGTTGGTGTTATTATGATGGATAATTTACCAGTTGAAAATTTATGAATACCTCTTGAAGAAATCAAGATAATTGAGCTCAAAGTGTTCGTGGGCTTCTATTAGAGCAAATACGGTCCCTTTCTAGAACTCATTTTTCAAAAGCACAATATCAGAAATTTCGTTACCAAAAAATCTAATTTTCAGTATCCTTATTCACTACTGCAACTGTATTCCAAGTACAACTTCGAAAAAGGTCGTGAGATAAATGTCGTTTTGTATCTAGGAGCTGCTGTGGTTTCGTTCTTGGTATGCGTTATTTTTTAAATGTTCTGAAAGTTTCAGAAATTTTCAGATATTGATGATTGTGTATCGAGTGAATAAGAAAAAAGTGAAGGAACGGAGATTTAAAGGTCCGATCAGTGAAGCTTATCAGGTAAGTTTTTAAATGGTCCCTTTACCATTTTTATCTATTGTTCACAAAGACCCACATGCAAATAACGAGACACGGGCGGGATAAACAGATAAACAGACACACATTCCCATGTGACGCCGATCCCTAATCAACAAGATATCTCCTCCCTAGTCAGCTGATATTAAATATTTTCATATTCCAATGTATACACTGACCCTTTTTGAAGACGAAAGATGAATGAACCGGTATCTGGGATGTTTTATATCTGATCACAACGGTATCCCAAGAACGTTCAAAGGACACTCTAGTTTTTAATCAAAGTTCAATTTCTTTGAAAAATGTAAACAAAAGTAAATTATGATGTGTGATATGCCATTTAGATCAAAGTATTTTTCAAGTATGATAGTTTCCTGGTTTGTGCAAAAAAACTTCTAGAGATCCTGAAAATGATTGGGTTTACAAGGAAATAGAAATTATCACATAGTTGATTTGATCCCACTGATTTTAAGTTTTGTTTATTCGAAATTGAAATCGACGCATTTATAGAAAACACAATTATTTAAAGGTCCTAACATTTTGAGTCACCTGAAATGTTATGTATTTTCTAAAATCATCAAGAAATTCTTCACAGGTGCATTCTGACTTTTCTGCAAGAATATCTTTCACCTGAAAATTTTTAACTGAAAAGGCATCAACATAATTTTGGGAGTTCATTTCGTAATCAATCCAAAGCAGTGCAAACACGTGCATTTTCAGAAATATCACCTGAATATCCAGGTGGTCATGAAGAAATGTTATATTTTTAGTGCTTGACTCAATTATGACGGCTGTCAGAGTTGAGGTTGAAACTGAATGAAATTGTTTCGGTGTAGGTGTAATTGGAAAGTTCTGGAAGGAAACGTGCATATCAAAAGTTCAAACATGTTTACATATACTCAAAAAGGTTTGATCTCAAAATCTGATCTTAAAAAAGTTCAATTTAATAGAGCTACTGTAACTTTTATTATTGTAAAACCAGTGATAGAAGGGCCCCTGTCAAGTTTGACCTCAATCCGGTTCATGTGGAAGATGCAAAAAATGTGTCAACTAATAAAACGCTTCTTCTGTATAGCATGGTAAATAATTTATCAGCTGACGACTTTCTCATATCTTCGATATGACAAAAATTGGCTCAAAGTTAAAAGGTTCTTCTATTACTGGCTCACGGTATCTCGGGTTCCTAGAAACACCTGAAAAATTCCTAACCGAAAAGCTTATCATCTTACAGGATTTTTATCAATAAATTTTAACAATAGTTTTGTTAGCAGCTGAGATAATAAAGGACCCTAAGACCTGTAATAGAATCCTTTTGATATCTTTCCAGGAACCGAGAAAAAATTGTTGAAAGTTAAATGTTTTGGGGCATCGGAAAAATTCCTAACTGATTATCATAATGTAACAAGGTATTTATCAAGTGATTTCTCAAATATTTTTGTAAGGACCTGAAATAATGGAGATCAAAAATATTTCTTGTTACAATAACTGAAAAAGAGCATCAACTTCAATCGTTCAAAAATTCTAAGCCGACAGAAACTCCACTTTCCATTGTTTTCTGATTTCGTCCTCTTATCATGTCCCCCGTCTTTTGGCCAGACCCGGTCATTATGCAAATTGTCTATGTATCATGTGAATTTTGATCGGATTGATATGATACCTAAATATTGAGAGAATGAGGAATCCCCCCGGTCTTCTTTCTGATCATAAGTAGAATCTGATTTGCAACGGAAAGCTTTTGTGGGGTGCAGACCAGACGTAAACAGAGGAGAACCTGATCAAAAGAAGAAGAAGAAGATGCTGAAGACGTTGAAACCTTGAGAGAGGGCATCCCCCGTTTCACATGAATCCCTCGGGGAAGCCCTTGATTCTTTGTGAGAAGCTGAAGAAAATTCTGAAGAAAGGAAGGTCCTCTAACAGATGTTACAGTCTAGAATGTGTAATAAGTGAATGAATGAAACACTTGTTGTTCTTGTTACTACTGATAACTGCTGATTCTTGAAGAAAAAAAAACTAAATAAAAGAAAAAGAAGAAAAAAGATAGGCAGAAGCTGTGTCAAGTGTAAAATATGTTTGGCAAATGAGAAAAGAAAGTAAATGGTCATGTGGGATGAAAAGTTTTCGAAGAGAGAGAGACAATAACTTTAGAAATGAGGAATGTACCCGGGTTAGCTTCAATAAAACGGTCAGAGATCAAACTATCTGTCACAAGTTGGCTGGAACACAATGAACAAAATTATACTTGTCGACGGGCCTATTCCGAACCGGCACGGGCCGGTGGATAACTCCCTTCAAAATTGAAATTGTGGTCAAAACAACATACCAGATGATAGAACACGACGAGATCTATTAGGGCAAAGATCGTCGGCTAGGCTGAAAAATGCCGGTCGATTTTTATTGGAGTTAGTAGAGCTTGTCGAACTCTATCACATGGTATGAAGTTTTGCTCAAAATTTCTATTTTGAGGAAAGTTATCAGCCGGATTGTGCTGGCCCGGAAACTGCCCGTCGACAAGCATGAACAAAATTGCATAAATAGCTTAGTAATCATTTTCCAGGTTCGAGAAAACATCCGAACATCTCGTCTGCTGCTCAAAATCTTTATAATCTTCTCATTCTTCGTTGGACTATCCACATATTTCCTCCTTCGATTCTCGGCTTCCCTTACTGACCCAAAACAAAAATGGGTCACTATCACAAACGGTTTTCTTTACGACATGCTCATCTCAACGGGTACCACAACCACGACAATTGTATTTCTCCACTTTTTGATCCCAGACGAAACACAAAAGAAGTGGTCGCATATACTACGTAAGATACAAAAGGAGAACCGGAATCATAATTTCAAATTTTACAGATCTATCCTGTTATAATCATAACGTCACTCCAGAAAGCAAACGACTAAGGTTCAAGAGTATCCATGGGGTCGACGTGGATGTTGGTAATGGAACGGTAAGAACTTCATCCCTCCGGGTCCGATACATAGATTTCAACTTATTCAAAAGTTCCAAAAATGTTTACGGTTCGCCCAAAAGATGTTTGGTTATCCATTCCACGACAAACACTAACTTCCTAGTACCAAGTGTACATATAACTAACTTATCTATGGCCCTTATGATCTATGTAAACCAGTTTTTCGTTAGTTAGTGAATTGGTTTCGGAGGACGCCTGGAACGTACGTACGTACCAAACCATAGAGAGTACGGTATCTATGTTTTGTTTCACATGAATAAACATTTTAGGTGGGGAAAAATATTTCAAGGTTTTGGGATGGGAGAAATGGGAGATGAGAATACGAATAAGAAGAAGAAAATGCAATGAATAGAATCGTTAAAAAAGTGATTTATTTCAGGCAGAAGAAGAGGCTAGAGTATACTTCAGCCAATTATCACAGGCCTGGAAACTGTAGAAACGAAGGAATGGAGGAGATCGATATGATGACTTTTTAATGTTTTGTGCTTCTGGAGGATTTTGAAAATTACCTGGGAAGGTGAGGAGGACACAATCGAAACGAAGAAAAACCACATACCGTACGGACTCTCATAGAACTCCACCCAAACCGTCAACTTTAAACTCAAATATCTCGATTACTGTAAAAGGTATCAAAAAGTTGTCAACTGATAAAATTTTAGTGATAGTATAATACGCATTTTGTTAGTTGACCACTTTTTGCTATCTTTCACAGGAACTGAGATAAATTGGCTCAAAAAGTATAGTTAGAGGATCATTCTTTTAGTGGGTTTACGGTATTTAATTTGTACAGTTTGCATAGGTTTTGATGTGAAAAAATTTTAAAAAAAATTAAAAATTCCAAGCATTAAAAATTCCATTAAAAATTCCAAGCATTTTAAAATTAAAAATTATTAAAAATTCCAAGCATTTCCGGCTTAGATTTTGCTTTCCAATGGAATTTTCAAAGCTTTTTGAAAAAAAAGAGGAAGAAGAGCGCAATTCTAATTTACCGTATTTCCTCTGATAGAAGTCCAATGGAACCGCCAACGTTGAGCTCAATTATATCGATTCGTGTGAAAGATACCAAATATTTTGTAACTGATAAATTATTTATTGTAACACGACCAAGATTTTATCAGTGGACACCTTCTTGATATCTCTTATAGAAGTTGAGATAATTGGGCTCAAACTTGACAGTGTGGGGCCCGGTGAGAGAGTTGTATACGGTTGCCTTCAATTAGAGTGTTTACATAGTCGCGGAGTACTGTAAACAAAATGTCAGGTCCATCAAATTGCATTTTTGTTGATACTGTGTTCTCCAGGTTGGCATCAGAACACAGACCTTCATAACTTGTAAACATCTGAAATTCACGTTGTCTCCAAAATTATTCTTTGTACCAACATTTTACCAAAAAACCAAAACTTGCACCTTTTTTGATTCTTTGGGTCTCACTATCCAGTTTTTTCAATAGTTCAAGTCCTTCGGAAAGTACACTTTTTGTCATCAAAAATCATTTTCGCCATAGTTTTCTAGACTGTTTTCAGTCGTAAACATCATTCTGAAACTGTTTACTTTCATGCCTCAAAAATCTGACATCGTCTTTTGGAAGGGAATCCCTAGAGGGATGAAAAATGTACATCGATTTTTGAATCCTACCAATCCATGATTCCCAATTAATTACATATAATTTGGAGAATATCAAAAAGTCATGGGATACACACTTCCTTGACCTATCAATCATGTTGTCAGTTTCGACTTTGGACCACACTGATTCCAGTCTGTCTCCCTCTCTCTACTACTTTTTATGATCACTGTCATTTTTCGTTTATTAGATTTAGAAAAGAGAGAGAGGAAGGGTGCAACTATTAATTGCAGATCGAAAAAGGAAGATGTTGTTCTTCTACCCCAACTTCTATTAATTTTCAGCCAGTCCCATGATCTTTCATTGATTACTGTAGTCTGTTTTTCATGTGAATACTGACAAGGAAAGGGGAATCCCGAGGCATGAAAAAAAAACAAAATCGAAAGTACACTCTTCATAAGATGACACATTACATTTTTGATTGTGTTCTGGAGCTGCTATAAGATGTTCTGAAATGTGGTTCCCTCTGAAAACTTCAGTCTTGTGTTCGAAATTTTCCACCACGTCATTAGAAGGCAATTAAAGTTTACTTCCAATTAGTTAAATTACCTAAAATTGTGAAATTCGGTTTCTGAAGTGTGACACACCCAGTGACAGGTGAACTCAAAATTCCTATTTCCAAAAGTTTGTTGCAGACTACCTCTAGAAGATTTTTTCGCCTAAAAATTTCCATTCACTCTCGGTCTCTTCGTTTGCAGTACGAGCCCCAGTCACCTGACAACCTCGAACACTTGATACTGGTTTCAGTATTCACCAACCTTGAGAATCTGAATTTGATTGAACGGAAAGTGGGAAAGCGAGACAGAGAAACCAAGAGAGTGAATCAGGGTCGGTCAGTTTGTATTCGTTCGATGGACCCGGAGACGTCGTCGAATCGGTTGGCGGGAAGAGGTCGTAAATTAGCCGAAATGTGGCAGCATTGCATCTTAAACAGTTTCTCCCTTCTTCTTTGCATGTGCCTTGGTTGCGCCGAACTGGTGGCGTGTTGTCACTGATACAGTATACCTTGTTGAGAGAAATTAAAAGTTCACAAATCTACAAGAACCCAAAAAAGTGGATAGGAATGAGGAAGTAGGATTAATTAGAGAAAAAATCTGGATGGGCAAAGGTGGAGAGCAAAAGGTCAATAATTCAAGTAATACAGAATCTGAAACCCTACATATCGGGACCATAAAAATCCACCTGAAGAAATTTCTAGAAGGGCTGCAACTAGAACAACTTCTAGTTCATTTATTACAGATCAATTTAGTGTAAAACCTAGGATAGGAGGTCCCCTTACTTCAACTTTGAACCAATTTTTCTCGGTTTCCGTAAAAGAGATGAAAAAACTGTCAACTGATTAATTGTTTATCATACTATCACCAATATTTTATCAGTTGAAGGATTTTTGATATCTCTTATAGGCATTGAGATAATTGACCTCAAAGTGCGTGAAAGTGTGGAGAACAAATACGGTAGTTTAGGAAATTCTGAATTCATACGAAAGTAAACAAAAATGAACAAAAAAAATGTTTTAAAGCATTGACAGCTAGAAGCCAAAAAATGAGCAACTTCTCTCAATCCGGATCAATCTGAATCCATTTACATGGATCTCACTTTTGATCCATCTCTGGCAAGTCCTTGTATTTCCAGAAAGTAAAAAACCAGATCATGCTACATTTTGTACCAAATATATCCATAGGTCAGATCATGCTTCTGTTTATCCCACCAGCTTGGAATAATATTTTCCAATTACTTCTCATGTTTCCAATCAGCTGATGAGGCTGGGTCATAGTCCCATTTTAGTGTAAACTTTGAATGAAAGTTCGTCTAATCCTTCGATCTCACGTGTATTCTTTGCAACAATAAGACGTCAACAACTCATGAATGGCACTGTCGAGTCTAGAATTTTTCCGGCACTTCATCAGATGACACTATCCGTATTTTGGGGTCACGATTCTCTCTGTTTCAGAATCGAATTCATTTAATCACATGTAGCACTTTTCGAAGTTGTATGCAAGTTACTGTTTGCAACACGATAAGTTGTCAACAATGACTCGTGAATGAAGGAAGGAAAATTGACAATTCCATAAACATCTCCTGACAGACGGGACGTCTTTTTTCGTTCTCAAAGGATCTTTGTCCTTTCTGCCTTCATTGTTTCCTTCTTTATATTTGTTTCCTTCTTTAGCCAATTGACAAGAGACGCTGATTTTCCGTTTTGCCTGTGGTTGCACTCAGTGCTTCGGGCACTCTGAACTGGTACACGACGACACAAAACGCGACGGCCCGAATCGTAGTCGTCTTCTTTTTTCTCTGTAGGAATGGGGCGGAAGGACCAATAAATCTCGATCCGTCAACAAACGGTCACATGCTTTCTAGGGGGAAATGGTCTAGGATCTCTTTGGTTTTCACACTGTCTTTTCAGTTCAACGAACAATTCAACGAGTCTCTTATTCTGCAATCTCTAACGACTTCTTCTTCATCTTCTTCTTCTGCCGCTTCTAACGATATGCCGAAGACGTTGAAATCGTAAAATTTGTACGCAGAGGGATAGGGATAGAGAGAAGGCCTTTTTCCTCTCTCTTACGTCTTCTGGCACGTGGCGGAAGATCATTAGAACATAACACATTCACGTGGCGACAACGACGGGCGTGGGACTTTCAACGGGAGAGGATTGTTTCCCGTTGAAGAGAATTCAGAATGATAGACAAATTCTATGATAGAGAATGTAGACGTTACACGCAGAGATAGAGACTGCCTCGGGCGGACCGAAGTTGTCTGAAGCCGCGCCTTCTCAAAAACTATGGTATAAAAGAGATCGGGGGTATCCCTCAAATGAACCCATTTTAAAAGGTTTCATTCAAAAAAGAAAAAGAATAAAGAGAAGAAGAGAAAAAGAGAAATAGAGAATAAAAGGAAAAATATGAAAAAGTTCTTTTTGTATGTTTCTTTCCGTCTCTTCCGTCTTCTTGTCTTTCTTCTTTTCTGTCCGTTTCTATGGGGATTCCCTTTCGTGTACACTTTTCTTATCAATTCTTATCCATGCCAAATTTTATCTTCCCACTTTTTCAGAAGCACTTCCTCACACTCACTCACTTCAAAAAAATCATGTCTGATGCTATCTTCACCCGCTCCGAAGTCTCCATGCACTGTGGCGAGGACGACTGTTGGATTATTGTTGGAAACTATGTGTACGACGTCACCAAGTTCGTCGATATGCACCCAGGAGGCCCAGAAATTCTTCTCGAATTTGTAAGTTAACATTCTAAGCCATAAAAAGACAAGGTTTTAATTTCCCTATTTCTTTCAGGCCGGAGGTGATGCCACCGATGCATTCGAGTCCGTTGGACACTCAATGTGTGCCCGTATGATGCTCACAAAGTTCAAGATTGGATCTCTCCCAGAAGAGGAGCGTCCAGACTTCGTTCAAGCTGAATACATCACCCACGCCAAGATCTCTCTTCCAATGGCTCATTAAATGAGACAACATCATACCCACTTTCTTTCATTTCTTTTCGTATTTTCATCAACTTTTACCATCTCATGACTGACTGCCACGTTATCGGCGGTCCTGAAACTTCCCATTACGGGTACATTTTCTCGACTCAATTCTAGTCAAATCAAAGCCATGTCCCTTGTTGCTTTTCCATGCGTCTTTTCGCCGTTTTTTTCACACTGTCAACCTTTTTGTTTTTTTTTCTATTCACTTCACACCTTTGTGAGCATAATTCTGTACGGAACTACCATCTCGGGTACAAATTGTAAAAAAAAAGAACGTTCAAAAGTAAACGAGTAAAAAATTTAAAGTCATACTCTTTTTTTCACACAGCATCTTACAAGCTAAAAAAACACATGTTTTCTTTATTGACTTCGTATCAGAAGAAGAAGAAGCATGAATCTTACTGTAGAAACGGGTTTTGCATAAAGGAGAAAGCGTAATCAGAAGTCCAGTTTTCATTGATTCAGACTTTGGCGATGATCTTTGATAAAGTTCATTTTTGTTCAGTTTTCCGTGAATACATTGTAGTCCCAGTGGTAAATGAAGACAGCCGATAGTTCAATAGACATGAATTTTGACACTTTTGCTAAATAAGAACAACTTGATCATCGTTCTCGAGCAATCAGAATTCATAAATTGATTACTGTACTTTATCAGGCGTTTCGAATACCAGCTGATATGTTTTTAGTCACGAGGAAACGTGCGTTGCTGTGAAGCCTAATGCGCCAGTTCCATCTGCAGATCTTCTATAAGCTTCCAAACACCAGATGCACCCAAATACTTCATTCTGTTTTGTTCCACATTTTCTTTAAGCCTGCATTCATTCGCCTTACAATAACACTTCTGATCGGCGAATTCGTGTGGAACACAGATGACGCAAATTTCAGATTCATTCTTTGTTGACAGGTGTACTCTGCTAAATTTGCAGAGTGGGAGTAGAATATTTTAAATTGCTTTGTTCTGGAATATTGCGGAGACTTCCGTTATCTCCATAATTGAAAACGGGGCCCAGGCGGGCCATCGCAGGTCTTGCCATAGTTTATTTCAAAAATAATATTTTCAGACCAACTTAATTGGATATGATAAAAATCAAAAAGTACTACAAAATGATATTTTTAATAAATTGTATCTTGTCTATGAACAAAGTTACAAGTCATAAAGCTGGGACCGCATAGCTCAAAGGATTTTTAGCCTATAACTTTGTTCATAAGCAAGAAACAATTATTTAAACAATAACATTTTGTAGTACTTCTTGAGTTCTATCATGTTTATTTTAATTGGTTGAAAAATATTGCTTCTAAAAGAAACTATGGGGTTTACAAGTATAGTTATCCCAAAATCTATTGATGTTTATCTGGATCCTTTCTAGACAAAAAAACCTGCTCTGACTTTTACCCTACACTTTGAACTTTTTTCTTGTTTTGTAGAATATTTCGATAGTAAACAAAGAAAAAAAAATAACTGTAACATTTTTAAAGAGTCAATAACACTCGTGATAAACACGAGAACGCCTTCTTCTTATTTCTCTGAAAGTGTATCGTTTTGTTGTCAAAAACTGGAAAACCTATTTCTCTTTAATTAAGCAATCAATATACAAAAGTACCGTACTTCTCTCTAATTACGTATCTATTTCGTCTTTCATTCATCATTTGACGACGGTACAAAATGATACCGAGAGATCCGAAAATTCCCAGTTGAAAGGGAGAGAAACGAGAGAGAAGTTGCGATTTTTGAGAGATGGAAAGTGCACTTGATTCGATGTGACACTTTGTATTATCTCGAACCATTTAACGAATTTTTTACAGCAAAACTTCTTTCTCTCTCTCTCTCTCGCTTTGTTGGTTCCTGATTCAAATCAATACACACATGTGAACAAACATCTCGTATTTGTATCGATTCGATACACTTCTGTTTCTTATCATTCATATCTTCAAGGATAATCGATGAGACACTTAATACCTAGATTTGATCTGATTTTTATTTTTATTTCGAACATTCGTTTGATGGGACGCTTTTAGATCTGATTGGGAATGCGAAATGGAGGGTTTTTGGGGGATAGTGAGATCACAAATAAAACCGCAAAATATATATTCAAGTTTTTGGAAAAATTCAGAAACTGGGAAGATGGAGACAATGAAGAAGAAGAAGCAAAAAAAAAAAAATATATAGAGAAAAATATTGGGATGGGGGACAAATAAATGAAAAGTGTGAGAAGTACAAAATAAAGCAGGGACCAAGCAAAATAGTTTTATGACTGATTGTCGATGAAAAATTTCTGATGAGAGACGTGCCTGTGAAGAGTTATTCAGCCTGGATGGCGTGCCACTTGGAGACGGTGATTCCGGCGCCCTGAAAATTTGAAAATTAGGAAGATTTCTTCAGATTATACTGACAAAATAATCCCCAGTTTTATGTTTCCAACTCAAATTCTTTTTACCATTCTCTTGTATCCCGTCTGAAGCCGTTCAAAGCTTAACCCTAATCCTACACTCTTCTTAGAAATGAATGGAAACAATAACCTTTTCTGACGTCACAAACTTTCCTATCTTTGAACGAAAAGAAGCGACTACGGTCTCGTGCCTTCTTGTCTTCCCCCTCACGACTTCAGAAGGACGTCGTCGACGTCGCCTTCCGTTACCGAAGCAGTCAACGTGGCGTCCACGTGGACAAAATCAACTGATAAGCGTCGTTGCGGGGCAAAGTCCTGTCGATCTCTGATAGTCTCCCTTTGAAAAGGAAATCGTCTTTCTATCCGATGGGAGAAGACCTCGACGATGGCGACGTCGACGGTGGTTTATTGAACTTTTTTAAAGATGCAGCAGAAATGTGAAAACGAGGTTGCAGACAGACCCGATAACGGGATGGGGTTTGCACCCAGAAATTGATAAGAGAATTACGACAAAAGGAGGGGGGAGGTTGATCTTATTTGCAAATTGAAAAGATTGATCAGAACTGACCGAATCAAAGGATAAGTTTGATACTGAGACATGTATCTTTTGTCTAGATCTTCAGAAGTCGAAGGGGGAAAGATCAGAAAGTTTTTCAGAAGGAATCTCGAATACTTTCAAAGTTGGTCAGGTTTAGAAAGGGAAAGAGTGTTACCTGGAAGTCCCTGAATTCTCTAGAGGAATAATTATATTTTTTAGGAACATTTAATATTTGAAGCCCTGAAAATTTTTAGAAAACAACTATACTAAATTGCATTGAACATATAAGACATACCGTAAAATCTGTAATAGAAGAGCCCACGCACTGCCAAATTTGACCTGGTTTATCTCGGTTACCGTAGGAGATATCGAAAATATGTCAACTGATAAAATGTTTGTGCTATTGTGAAAAAGAATGTATTAGTTGACATTTTTATATCTTTTATAGGAATTGAGATGAATGGATAAAAATTTATAGTTAGGAGCCCTTCTACTGCAGGTTTTACGGTAAAAGGTATATCGCAAAATTTTCTGAAACCAATCATTTCCAAAAAAGCTAATATCCACAAAGACTGTGAAATTCAAAACCGCCAATTCCATGTGTTGAACCCAATAGTATTTGACTATTTGATTTCACTTCCAGCCTTCAGACAGACCCTATCAATTCATCAAATTCTCTGCAAGTCAGTCTGTAGATTCCTAACTTTTGAGTAGTTCATATCATCTTTTTCCTATATACTATGATCGCTTTTTGAGATGAGTCTCCAATCACCTCATTTTTCGAAAATTACTCTCCCCACGTGCAGCCGAAACTTGTGATTTCTGGCGTACAGTTTTCGATTTCAATTTTGAAAGAAAATTCGACTTTCTACCCCACGAGTAGAAGTGCCCTTTTGGCTTTTTTTTTGCGGAAGGGAACTTGAAAAGTACATCTTTCTTACACCGAATTTCTCTTCTTCATCTTGTTCTTCCTATCCGGTAAACCAGTAAACAGGAAAAAGGATGGGGAAACGGCAGTTTTTGGTTTTAGTTTTTTAATGGGGATTCCTTCTTCTTTTTTTGATTGATGGTATCATCTATTCGCCGTAAAATTAGAAAAAAAGATGAAAGATAAGAAGGGAAAAGGGAAAAGATGGATATAAGGAATGTGTCATCATACCTGCATCATCTGGTGCCAGTGCTCATTGGCGTCTGGAGTGGAAGAGGCGAATCCGATGGAAATGGATCCGATCTGGACTTTACGACGAAGGATTCCGGTGACAGTCCAGACTTCAACACGAACTGTTGAGGTTTCGACTTTGTCTTTTGAGAACTGAAATAATTATTTTTTAAATTCAGATTTTTCAGATAAAGATACTCTTTGTAATTTTACAGATTCCCCATATTAATAAATTCATATTTTGAAATATGCCTGGAACTCTCTAAAAAAGTTGCCCATTATTTCGAACCAAACTATACTCAAACATCAAGAAACAGGATAAATAAACATCCAATCACTAATTAAAATCCAATGTTTAGTTTCGACTTTTCCCGAATACCTACTTGTTTGTGTAGTAAATAAATGAAATGTGAAACGATACCAAGTGATTGATTATAACTTTAAGAAAACTGTTGTGGAAAACAGGTGGTGTAGCTTTTTTGATTCATTAAACACCAGATGTTCCACGTAGGGACAGGGAACATCATGTTTACACAATTTGCAGTTAGTTTACTAGATTAGGGGGTTTAATTGTTGCAAAGTAATTTAATCTAGAAGACAATTAAAGGGGGACTCCGAGTGAAAACGTATTCCGTAATTTTTTGCATTAAAATGTTTCCAAAGTTGTATATTTTCGAAATCCCTGAAAACGCCGTCGAAAATACAAGCGCCCACAGGTCAGTTCTCGTCCAAGAGGACCGCCGGAATCCTAGTCCAAGGTTACTGTAGGCGCTGTTTTATCATGTAAATTTTCAGAATATTTCGCCGGCTCCGGTCGTTTTTTTCTGTATTTTTAGAAAAATTCATGGCGTTCTCATTTTTTTTTCCATTTTTTTTCGGAATTCTTTCTAAGTACTATTACAAAAATACATACGCTAGAACCTGTATTACAAGGGCCCACAACTTTTAAATTCGAGCCAATTTTTCTCCGTTCCTGTCAAAGATATACATAAAAAACGTTGTCAACTAATGAATCGTTCATCATAGTATCAGAACTGTTTGTTAGTTGATATATTTGTGTTATCTTGCAAAGGAATCGAGTCAATTGAGCCCAAATTTGACAGTGTGAGGGCTCTTCTATTACTGCTTTTACGGTAACTTTGGGAACATGTCAAGGAAAAAAATTCAACAATTTTTTGGTCGGAGTCCGTATTTAATTTAAAAAGCAAGTCAAAAATTTCTGTTCGAAAACTCTTCAAGTTAAAACGTTTATTGTTTACACCAAATTAACAATTTATGAGATCTGTGATGTTGCTCCTAATCAAGAACCCATGACCTATTTTGATCTTTCTTCTCAATTTATCCAATCAACCGTAAATAATTAATTATTTCAGTTTTGATATCTGACTTTAGGTTTTAAAAAGTGTGACTTTCTGTTATTCCAACACAAAACTTTTTTCTAGTCAGAAACTAAAAATTTTTCAAAGTCACATGTTTTTCGAAAGACATCAACACAAAGTATGAAAATAGGACTGAAACCGAGAAAATTGTAAAAACTCACTTTCATAGTGCAGTGATGACTGTAGACTGGTTGAGTTGAGTGCTTGATAGTGTCAGTCTTATGACGAGAAAGCTCTGTGTTGAACTCGTCGATTCCGATGATTCTGATGAATGAATCTGGTGGATGAGCGTTATCCGATCCGAGAGACGATGCCTTCTCGATGCAGACAGAGACAACTTCGTGCTTGTCGTCGTAGCAGAGTCCGACGAGAATCTGAAAATCGTTAGAATTTCACATTGATGAGGAACCCACTTTCAACAAATAAGATCGGACTATCTATTCATAACCTGCTAGACGCCTACATACTCAAGCTACCGTAACCCTTCTAATAGATGACCATCCTAACCATCATTTTTAAGCTTAATTATCTCATTTCCTGTAAAAGATATCAAAATGTTGTCAACTGATAAATTGTTTGTCATAATATTTAAAATATTCTAATAATAGATCTTTTTTGAAATCTTCTACTGGAACTGAGATATACAAGGTCAAAATTGGAAGGTTAGGTGGCCATCTATTAGAGTTTTACGGAAACTGCTGATGACCACATTTTGATGTTTGGATATTTTGAAATCACTTCGTTAGTTGGATACGGTAGCATTCGCATGTGCATTCAGAATTTTAGGCTACACAAGACTCGGCTAAACGAGACTGGTGTCCAAATTACGGGTTTCCGAAGATGAGAAACTAGTATTTGACTTATTTTAAATAGAATCTACTCTTGAATATTTAAGGTGAGCCCAGACTTTGAAGTTGCTTCAGAGCTCCAAACAGTACTCACCTCCGGTGATCCAGTCATCGGTTGGCTGCAGAATCTTCCGGTTGCATCGACCATACTGCTTCGGCGACTGTCGCCGTTGTGTCCACGAGAAATACCGTTCGAGTGCATTGATGGCTGGAAAAAATAACAAGGAAATGGAAATGACGAGAAGCAGCCAGATAAAAAAATGAGGTCAGAAGCGCCTCGAATGAAACGGATTCTGTGGAGCGTGCTTAAATTTTTTCGAATTCTTGTTTTCTGCGAATTCTTCTTCTTATTTTTCTTTTCTTCAATTCATAATACAATTCATTGTTTATTTCTTCTGAGAATTTCAAGAAAAAAGGAGAATTGAACACTAAGAATCTGATAATTGAGTATCTCCAAAAAGTGCTGAAGTCCGCCGACAAAAGTCACGCCTTCTTTTTGTCTAAGCCACAAAATATTTAGAAAGACGAAAATAATTAGATGTCATATAAATGTATCCTAGATAATCCCCTAGATCTATCGAGATCCGAAAGGTAATTATTTTTTGGAATGAGCCAAAAGATGACTGAAACACAAGTAAACACAAAGATCGACGGCTTCTGGGTGAATGAGTTTCGAATCAAAAAGATGTGCAGGAGGACAAAACAAAAAAGAATAAGAAGAAGGAGGTGGATGTGTTCTAATGGGTCCTTTTTGCTCACTCCCCAAATGCTTTATTGGCCTCCCTATTTTTGCTCTCGAGCTCATTTCTATTCCTGGTTCGTCGATCGAAATTGAACACCCAGTGATTTGGGAAACAAGAAGAATGGGAGAACGGCGAAGAGTTTGATCCTCATTTTATTTCACTTTTAGGCGGATTAGCTTCTTGGGAAATTGGGAGATGTTGAAGGTTGTGGGATACAGAAAGTCTAGCAGATCTACTGGTTTTTCAAGGTAAAAAAGAATGTCTCTCAATGTTCTATCACAATTTTTTGGTTTTCCATAAAAGCGGATCATAATTTAATTCCTACAACATATTAAGAATCATCAGAATATCTATTTTACTCTGATAATAGATTTCTAGTCACTATCCCAGCCGTTCGATCTTCATTCGAACACTTTTAGACTCCAAAAAAAGCCGGACCAAAACTCAATTCAAAAAGTGGTAACTCCTTCCTCGCACTTCCCGTTGTTTCCCATAAAACAGAGGGGTCGTTCTGAGAATCTAGCAAAAATCGAACGACACTGCGTTTTTTTCTTGGGAATTCGAAATTGGAAATTGAGTTGATGTGATGTGCCCGTTTGAGAAAATAAACAGCCTTTTTGCTGTTCCCGCTATTTTTATAGCAAAGAAGGAAAATCGAGAAGAAGAAGAAGAAGAAGGCAACTGAGAAATTGAAGAAGATGAAAAGAACAGAAGGGGGAAGAAAATGAACGGATGTAAACCAAATAACAGATCAAAAGCCCTAATTTGTAGAAGAGAAGGCAAAAAGACAGTATGGGCATTTTCGAAATGGTGAAGATAACTGTGTGTTTTTCGAAAACTGCTAATTTCGAGATTTTTCGAACTCAGTTTTCAATTTTTTCAAAATTTCTTTCAAACTACTAAACTGGGACCAGTGCGTTCTAGGCCATTATAGCCTGGTGCCCTAACTTTTTCAAGTCGAGCTTTCTATGCCACCATGGTAAATGGTCTAGTAACGACCTAATATTAAACTGGTGTGTTTTCTAGGTGGTCTAGCAAGCTCAACTTGCGAAACCTAGGCCACCATGTTACATGAACTAGAAAACATTTCAGGCGCGTGCTAGATCATTACCGTAAAACCTTTAATAGAAGGGCCCCTTTGATAGAAGGGTCCCTCTAATAGAAGGGCTTTGCGAGAAAGGCTTGGAAAAATAAAAGGGCCCTCTTAAGAATGTGTTGTTTGAAATCAAGAATTTCCATGCGTTTCCAGTTAAAAATATTCCGGAAATACCACATTTCTACTAATATGATAAACAAAATTAAGGTGATTTACCTTGGTGGCCTAGAAAACCTAACTTGCGGAAGTTAGACACCATGTTACATGAACTAGAAAACACACCAGGCGCGTGTTAGATCATTTCTGGACCATCAACTACGGTGGCCTTAAAAATCATGTTGATAAAATCATTACCGTGAACCTGTATTAGAAGGGCCCCTTTGATGGAAGAGTCCCTCTAATAAAAGGGCCCTCTTAAGAATGTGTTGTTTGAAATCAAAAATTTCCATGCGTTTCCAGTAAAAAATATTACGGAAATACCACATTTTCACAGAAATATGATGAACAACTCTTTTTTGCTGATAAATTTCGGTGACCGATATAAATATTCATAATTTTCGAACAAAAATTTTCCGGATTTTTCAATAAAAAAATTCGAAAAATGGTCGGAAAAATAGAAGAGCCCCCTCTAATTGAAGGGCCTCTGTGATAGAACGGCCTAACACAAGTTTTACGGCGTTTAAGAAAAAATCTGAATCTAACAGTTGAAAAGTAAGAATTATTCTATGGATTTTCAAGGAATAAGAACTTCCCAAAATATTTGAAATCATCTAGATATGTATCAGATTTTCAAGAGAACGACTCTTCGCGAGAAACCAAAACAACTCCAAGAATTTAAATTTTTTAACAATTCCAAGAATGCTGCGAAATTCACTTGACAAATCTTCTCTTGAGACTTTTAGGACCTTTCGATCCCTTTCTGGTATGTTCATTCCCCTTAGCAGATTCCTGATCTTCTTCCAGAACTCCAGATCAAAAAACAACAATTTCTTCCAATAAATTATCTCCGGAATTCATCATTCCCCTATTTCTCCTTCGTTTTTTATCTCACCTCAGTTTCATGAATATTCATACTGAAACACGACGAAGAGTGTCGTTGATCTGATCTCAGAGAAGGGATAGAAAAATAAAAGAAGCTTTTACAAATCCAAAGTCTAAACCTCCGGACATAAAACGCTTAGCAACACTTTATACGTCGCACTCGATGGATGAAGCAAGACGAAAAAAAATCTAATTAACGGGGCGGAAGAAAATAGGCACCTGTCTGTTGCTCTCTGAATTCAACTGATGAATAATGGGAGACAAAAGAAAAAAAATAAGAAAGGAGAAGCCCTTTTTATTATATAATAATGTCAAGAATAGATCCCCCAAAGTCGTTGACATTTCTCTCAAGCATATCCAATTTCCCCATCTTTGACCCTAATAAATACATTTCAAAAACTTCAGGAGAGAGAGGGCATTTTATTCAAAAAGCACTCGTAAGAGAGCAGGAACAAAGAATATACAACAAGAAAACAGCTGAATCATGTTTTGTCCCCTTCTGGGGATATGTATTTATAGACACAAATGCGCTATTTATAAGGTTTCGATAATACTTTCATAGCCACGTGCTCTTTCTCCTAGACAGAGACACAATTATTCGGATACTACATCTAAATGAAGGCGTCGGATTTCACAACAAAAAGAATAAAGAGAAGAGACAAGAAAAGTAGAAGCACGTGTAGAAATTGAGATAATTTGGAAATTAGGAGAGAGAGAGAGAGAGAGAGAGAGAGAAAGTGAAAACTTTTTGGTATACTACCTTTGGGTTCTTTGAAAGCATGTTTTGAGTTTTTCAAGTGGCCCTTCTGACTTGCGCTTTGGTTCTTTTCAAGATGTGTTTTTGATCTGTTGGGGGAAAATCGGTAGTTCTGATACCAAAATTTTAAAAGCATGAAGCGCCGTGCCGGAAATGCCTTTTTTCAGAATTTTCAAGGCCCGGCTCAGTTGAACCTGAGTTTTCAGAAATGTTTTCTCTCTTTTCAAAACATTTTTGAGATCAACTGAAACAAAACAAACTTTCTGCCCAATAAAAAGTGCTTTTAAAAACAAAAAGCTTGCCAAGAGCTCGCCAAGAAAACCCCATACTGTTCAAGTATGGTAAAAAGGGATACCAGAAGTTCTCCGAAAATGATAATAAAACTTAAAATGCAGTTATTATTATTTTTCCCAAAACAAAGCATATTGGATGCCTCTACCAGGAATTACAGATACAACGGGGAAGCCAAGATTCCAAGATTATTCTTCTTGGCTCCAAGGTCGATCGCTTTCTGGAACTATGGATACCAACATAAACAGAAAAAAGTTTTGGTTTCTCTCTCAAAATAGAAAGTTTTGATCGTTAATATGTCTGGGATAGATGACAGTTGTCCGGGGAGATTTCATAAGCTTACGAAATTCCAAAAATAGAAATTTTTTGAGTTTTTGAGATACAATTCAAAAAACAATAAAAACGTTTGGAAACATAAAGAAGAAAACTAGAAGTTTCTTCTTCTCCCAATGTAAAATGACTAGTAAATCTCTCATAACTCCATATTCTTTCTTTTCTCCTCTTCTTCCCCTTTTTTTTGGTACAACAACCCCTTCAGTAAATTTGATAACCTAAACAACAATAAGATTCCAAATTTTCATCCAAAAAAGATATGAGAAAAATAGCTTCGTTTTCTTTTCCGTCGAGAATAATAAGATGCTAGACATCGAGAAAAAACTTGTCAAAAATAGCAAAAAAAGCGAAAAAAATCCGGGTTTTGCTTCCTTCAAATATTGTGGCAATTACCTATGAATATGCAGAGATACTACAAAAATGTGTTCAGCATATACATCCATTAGGAAAGAAATGTTGGGGAATATTCAGAAAATATCTGTTGCGAGATGCATTTCTGTCTACCGTGAACATTGAATTAGAAAGACCTGCCCCCACACTGTCTATTTCGAGCTGATTTTTCTCGACTCCTGAGAAAGATTTCAAAAATATGTCAGCTAATGAAATGTTAGCAATTTCATGATAAACAATTTATCCGTTGACAATTATTTTATATCTTTGACAGGAACCGAGATAAATTGGATCAAAGTTAGAAGTTAGGGTGCCCTTCTATTACAGGTTTTGCGGTAATTTAATATTCAAATTCAGGTCTTTTTCTCATCCTGTATGCAATCACATATTTATGCTCCATTACAAAAATGCACACCGACAAACAGATCAAGAGAAAATGGGAACAGGAGAAAGATTGATGAGATTCATGAATTCGGAATCGTTTTCTGACTAAATGGGAGGGAAGAAAAAAAGAAAAGAAAAATCTGATAAATACGTTTAGGATTTTTGGT